CATCTGTCTTTTGAAATAAAGCCTAAATATCATGAACTTTATATACAGACAAAAACAGCAATAAATATTTTCTGTTGATATTTGTAGCTTGACATTTAAGATATTTAAGGCACATAGATATGAAGAAAAATGCTTAATCAGGGAATCTGGAACTTTAAAAAAATTTCATTTTTATGCAGGACAACGACACTAAACATACATCCAAGTCCACCAGAGCATGGATGGAAGAGAACAACATTCTCGATAACATCATGAAGTCACCAGCATCCTCTCCTGACCTCAACCCTATCGAAAATGTATGGGCTTCTATGAAGCAATACCTCGCAAATGTACACAAGCCAAGAACAAGAGATGAGCTAGTGAGAGGAATCCAAGTATTCTGGGAGTCCCTTACTGCTAAACAGTGCGGATGTTACATTGATCATATTCATCGTGTGATTCCGTACGTAGTGTTGAATGTTGGAGACGCCTCTGGATTTCAAAAGTACAATGACCTTAGAAACAACAAAAACTGTGCCATTACACATTTAGTGAAATCCAAGTATTCTGGTAGCCAGTCCCTTAAAGCTGAACAGTGCGGACTTTATAGGATAGATCACATTCATCGTGTTTACCATGTGATTCCATACATTGTGATAATTGATGTAGACACATCTAGATTTTAAGCATGTTAAAGTTACCATGTCCATGAGAAACAATGAAAACTGTGCCTTTTACTCTTTCAGTGATAATGAAGACTTGAAATCTTATTGTTTTTCTTTTGAAATTTATCTTGGCATTCTATGCAAAGAAAGTTTGACATGTTGGCAAAAATGCTTTGTGACCTTGACTTGAATTCCCAAAGTCCATTTTGTGAGAGAAAGGGATGGATAATACTAACAAGTTTATTGTTAAAGCAAATTGTTATGAGCACTTGTATTATTTTATTCCTTCCATTTGCACTCCAATGCTTTTACAAGTGAATATTAAATGTTTGCAAAATGTCTTCAAAATTGAGTGTGTTGTCTATCTTTCTGTAGACTTTTTTTATGTACACAATTTGTAATTGTGCTCATAGAAAAGACACTTTGCCATAGGATCATAAAACAGACTTAGACTAAAGTCATAATTTTTCAACCGCACGTAATGTTAATTTCTTTATTCTGGTTTTTGAAACAATGTTTAAATTCACACGTCATGTTACAGATAACATAACTTTGTAAACAATTATATTTACAAATACTTTTATTTCTGTCTCGAACAGTTTAGTTAGATTTTGACTTAAGCTTAAGATGTTTCATGATCCTTAATCCAGGCCGTTGGTCCACAACACTAGGATGATCATAAGAATTGCCTAAGCTAGGAATTGTTAACATTAAAATTAGTTTTGAAAATTCAGTAGAAACTGTGTTTTAAATGTACCTTTAAGCTATTAAAAAACCTTATGGTAAAAATTGCAAGCTTGATATTGCTTAAAATGAAAGAAATGCTCAGAATCAATATGAATGGCTGCTTCAAATAAGAGTGATTGATAATTTTAAGATTCTTTTTGAAAGAAAACAGGTAAATAAATGATGTCAGATGAAAAATGAATTTAAATGAACAATTTAGGCAATTCCCAATTTTGTTTCCCTGTTTAGTGTCCACAGACAGATTAGTTTTGAGGTAAGACTGGGGAGTCAAGGACTGGGTTTTCTTTACGATTCATTCTTAAGATTTAGAAATTAATATACACTGAGAACATGGAGAAAATTTTCAATTGTTGCTGAGAAATTTCTTGAAAATTGTAATTCTATTTCCTGATTTTGATTCTCTGATTGAGTGATTAGCAAAACTTATGTATTTAATGTGGACACTAAACATTGAAAGAAAACTTGGAATACCCTTATACTGTTGTATAGGAAAAAAAATAGGATAATTTAAAAAAAACACAAGTTGCAAAGTTTTTGATGATTTATTATTAAATCTAAGTATCAAAGTATTACAAACACTTTTTTACAATAAAAAAATTATCCTCAATACAAACACACCGGTAGTATTAAATCTAATATTATGCTCTAATAAGTTTCAAATAATAAGTAATTTACAATAAACACATGTAGTGATACAATTTTTAAAAAATCATAATCAGTGATTTCTTTTCGAGAAAAACAAAATATTTATGCTGGAAACATTTTATTTTACTGTACAAAAATCCATCTAAAAATAGGAAGGATCACAACATGTAATGATGTTGATAACGTCTGTGGCTTTCACATACTGGTAGCATTAAATAACCCAATATCATTAAATCTAAAATGAACATACTGGTACACAAACTACATATGTAGCATTATAATATAAAGACATGATTTTCAGGAAAACAAAAAGTTTATCTTTGAAATGCTGATTCATCAATGCGCACTCCTGTGTACTTGTATTTGTGTACAGGAGTGCGCATTGGTGAAGCATTCGAATTTGTCAAATCCGCCGATCCTTCATACAGCACTGTTATCTTCCGTCCCTTAGACCCCTGCAAGGATAATCTAAATTTAATCCTTTGCACCAAAGGAAAGCAAAGAGCAAGAGCCATCTTATGCATAAATTGGCCCTGTACATATATCAAATAATTAACTATTACCCTCTTTCCCATTTTATATGTCAAAATAAAGTAGACACTTGGTGCTTTCATTTTCTATAATAAAATTTTGTTTTGAGAATTCAAATATTGGAAGACAGGTTTGAGAAATTGCAATGTTCTTGAAATTTGCAGAGAACATGCGCATTTGACTGCCTTCAGCAAAGAATTAAAATATGAGCACAGTCAACGATCCAAAAAATAAAACAAGTTTTTTGATCTTCAGAAACAGAGCTTTCATTACGTATTTGCATATTTTGGATCAGAGATTGTGCTCTATATAATATTTTGAAAAAATGCTTCAACGTAAGTCCATTTTCAAAGGAATTTACACAATATGAGGCAAATGACGCATTTTATGACGTCATAATGCATAGACTAGAGGGAAAATTACATCACGATTAATAGATACGTGGTCACCAACACTCCAAGTGATAAATGCTGCATTTGCAACCTAAACTGAGCGGTTTTGATTTTTCAGAAATTCTCAGGACCAAAAAAGGCCTAACCTGGCTCTTGCTCTTTTTGCATATTGTAACATGTTTAAAGTCAAAATCTAGTAAATGAAAGGTATCTACAGCAACAACTTCTTCTAGGGCCAAAATAAAATAATTGTTTGTTTCAAAATGACTCCCACCTCATTGAAATGCCCCCTCCTGAAAAACTTTTATTGACCAAAAGAAGAAAGATTTTTTTTAATAAATTTTCCCCGTTATGACATGCACGATACAAAACACTGAAATAAAGTGTCAGATCTAAGCAAAATTAGGTTTCTTTGTTGATTGTAGAAACTTCCTTTTAAAATTCAAAAATGTATTTATTGATTACTGATTTTTTTTTAAATTAAAATTTATCTTCAATTTTGCCAAAAAATAACCTCCCTCCTTCCTGTGTCTGAAACCTTCAAAACAAACAATTTTTAAACAAAGGCTTTATAATCATTTACAAATGTACAGTGGCTTAGTAAAATAACAATAAACATGTATCAGAACATAATTCTCAAATAAACGCCATGAAAGTACATATTTCAAACTGACATTTTAAGTTTAAGTAATGTGTTCCCAGGAACACATTTGTCACATGCTTTTAGGTTCATTAAAGAATTAACTAATTCTAAGAGTAAGAGTGGTCATTTATTTATATGTTCCTCAACTATCTAGCATTTAAGAGTTTATGAAAAAAAGAAATCAAAGGATATTCATGTAGTAAGACTGCGAAAAAATAGACATAGGCTGTGTGAAGTGTACCCTCTAAGTTCCGCTTTGCTCTGCCCGTGACACAAAAAGAAAATGGTTTTGCATAACAATTAAGAGATGTTTCATTGCAAAAAGTTTATGCCCCTTAACAACAAATAATTGGATATTTTTCTAAGTCCAATTAACATAACTCTGTCCAAAATAGCTTGATTCTATCCAAAATAGAACTCGGCTAAGATATTCTTATGATAAATCTGCATACTCTGAATTTCATTTCAAAATGTGCAACTAATTAATCAATTAATATATAAAATAAATTCAAGTTACCTGCTTAACAGATCCATTGTTTCTGCCATGTTGTGTTGTTTCATGTTGGCGCCTCTCTGTGTTCTGAATTATGAAAAAAAAATAAATTTAAAAAAATGCTAGATAGTTAAAAGAATATTTATTTTAGAGCTGTCATTGGTGTAACATGTGTAAGTTCTGAATATATGACAGAACTTATTTAAACTTGATTTCATTTGTTCTGTTTTTGAAACATTCTCTCTATGTTATCATCTTCAAAAGTTAAAATATCAGAGTATCTGTAAGCTGTCTGCGAGTTTGAAGGTTGACAAAAAAAATGTATCATATTTCCAATTCTTGACTAACTTTTCGCAGAAAAATGAATTTCATCTTCTTATTAATGAAATGCTGAATATTCAAGGAAAGGGGAAATTTAGTGTTGAGTATTTATAATAGATATTTAAGCTATGATCATAAAAAGTCAGGATGGAAATCATGATATGTCATTATTATGAACATCTAGACTAGAGTTATCTTGCAAGGTCTTTGTAATTGTAGTGTTAAGAATGCTAACACATCAGGTAATTACTCCCTAACAATAACAGATTTAATGCAAATGTATGCAAGCATGGGTGTTTGTTGTGAGGCTATAAAGAGTGTCATTGGCACTCAATTATTAAATTTTTCATAAAAGTCCATGTGCAATTCCTTTAATCCTTGATATTGCAATTACTTAACTAAGTGGAACTCTTTCAAGTGGAGGTTAGAAACGTCTCTTGGTTCGGGGCATTGTGCTATTCACAATGCAAGATTTATCATTGTGGAATTTAAAATATAAGAACAAATAAGAGAGAAATCCTGGTGAAATATCTAGCTTAACTTCTCTAAATCAGTCTAATAAATCTCTCAAAGAAGTTAAACTTTTAAAAGCTGATTAAATAATCTAAACTTTCTTTATATGACATTTATCTACAATTTGTTGAGCCCTTGGCAATACAATGTACTTTCAGCATAATGATTGTTCGATCAATACATGTATGTCTATCAGTATGAAGACTGAATGCATTGTTATGGTTAGATAGATAACCAAGGTACTCACAATAGTATGAATACTCTGTATGGATTTTTTTTTCAAATACAAACATTAAATAAATATAGGGTCTCCCATGGTTTGTGGTTTGATATGATTTTTATCCAACGAGTTGTGTGTTTTCTATCCCCGAGCCTTGGCGAGTTGGATAAAACTTGTTACAGCATTGCAATTGTTTACATGCCCTTGTAAGAAATATTTGTAATGCTTTATACCTGTTATACAGTGGGATCTGGTAGATCTTCATCTGTGTCATCTTGTGTGTCAATACCAGGATCGTTCCAGATGTCCAAGTAGCCACCTTTCCTCCTGCGTCCCCTGGAAGCTTGCCTTCTCTCCTTTTCCTCATCAATTGCCTTTGCTCGATGCGTCTGTGCCTATTCTGTATCATAGTCCTCATGCTGTTCTTTGGTGTCTAAATAAAAATACTGACACCGATCGATAGCTCCGCCTCCTATAAATATTGATTGTGTGACATCAAAACCACTCCGGGTACATGTTGAATTCCAGAAGACGACACTCATGTATCGTTGTTTTGATTTTGATACATGACAACAGGGCATTGTTTTAGCTCAAATTTTCATCTAATATAACAAAGACTAGTATCTTTTGCTCTTTCCATTGCTCTTACTTTATTTTGGATTCACTTCATTTGCAGATTTTTAGAGGAGTCGCAAAAAGATCCAAAATAGGGCGTTAAGTCCACCCATTCTTTATTTAGTTTCATTAATAAACAAGTTCATTAATTCACTATTTTTTAAATATATTTTTACATGTTTTACACAGGTTTCCTTTTTTGATATATAAAAAGCAAAAAGTAAAATCTTTGAAATGCAGAAGAACACTTTGGACAAATGAGTAGCTAAATTAAACATGATACAGGTATACATGTAAGAACTTCAAGCCTTGCAGCTTATTCCAGAGAAAGTATTGATTCTGGAAGAATCAGATAAAAGTAAAAATAAAATTTACCTGATAAATGCAGGATTTCAACTTTGTGCAGTTGTCCATCATATGAGAGAGACCCTCTGCTAGATCTGGACAGGACTCCTCTTGTTGAACTTTGAACCCTGGAGCTCTCGACAATTGCAGTAAATCCATCCCAGTCAAATAAAACAAGAGCATGCTTTGGATGATTTGGCATGGCTCTAAAAATGACATTTTTATTTCTTAATTAGTTAATTAATGAAGGTATTCATAATACTAAATTTTGAAGAAAAAAACAAGCATTCTGAGAGTATAACATTGGCAAATGCAAGACAATGCTATTCCCTATTGGCAAGACTTAAGTGTAATCTGGCTCTCATTAAAAATTGAGAATACCATAGTTCCGCCAAAAATCAAAGTTTAAAACTTATCATTTAAAAATATTGAAACAAAATGACATGAAACTTGATTTATAACTCATCAGTATTCATTCAAATACTGCAGAAGTACTTTTCTCCGCGTGTCTGATATTAACGCTACTTTCCGCGGAAATTTGTCCAAGCGTACTTCAAATAAATGTAAGGCATATAGTGACAATCAAAGAATTCCGCATAATTTTCAACCAGCGGATTAAACAGAAACTGAGATTCCGCGAAATTATAACTCTGTGGAAAAAAGTATGCCTACAGTACCAACAGTCTGAGCTCAATACTTTAATCTCCAAACATGTTTCAGAAAACTGTCAAACAGAGGGATAACTAATATGGGCAGATATTTAGAAGTTGTGACTGCTATGATTTTTTTCAGGTAGGAGATCGGAAGGTGGCCTCAAGGCCCCCGTGGGTCTAGGGTATAGAGTTAAACCAGACACAAACACAGTAAAACTTAGCTATAAGAAAGTCCTCCGACATTTTGAAGTTAGAAGTACGATAGATCATGTCACAACAGAGACTTAAGCACAATGGAATTTTCAATGAAAGTGTTAGCGTATCGAACAGCAGAAGGTCACGTGAGAAAGGTGATTATAATATCAATCGTTGATGCTCGGTGACTGGCTATCTTGATCCTATGTTGAGGACATTTTTTTTTAAAATTAGATATGAGCCGCAACTTCGCTAACGTTGTCCTTTTAATATGTTTAAGTTTTAGTTAAAATACACATTCTGTGCAAATAAAAAAAATGGCCAAGTTGCAGCTCGATGTAATCAAAATCGTTGAAAACTGGTATGCATATGAATAACAATAGAAATGAGACAAAACTGATAGACCCCTGTCTCAAAAGCTAGTGTCGCTCGGCATTATAAAATACTTTCATGTAATATAATATACCAAAACCTGCTATTAAGACATTGTTTAATACCTATAAAACATAAATTTAATGAATTATGGGATTTTATTTTGCACAAAACATCGGGATCCAACTCTCATATATTAAGTGCAGTCATTACCAGTAGACATGGTAGAGGTATAATGTACTTTTAAACACCTGTGAAATATCAGTTCTACTGGTAATTCATTCTAGTTTATCACATAATCATGACACAAAAGAAAACAAGAGGCCCATGGGCCACATCACTCACCCGAGTAACTTGGGTAATGCAGTTCTTTAGCAGATTTCCCCTCTTGCTTTACCTATCGTGCCCTCCTACCCCCTCCCCTTACACGATTTTAAAAGTAGAATCTACACTACCCAAGGATGCTTCAACATAAGTTTCAGCTTTCCTGGCCCAGTGGTTTTTGAGAAGAAGATTTTAAAAGATTTGTTCAATATATTTCTATGTAAACTTTGGATTCCCTATTGTGGCCCCGCCCTATCCTGGGGGTCATGATTTTAACAATTTAATATCTACTCTACCCAAGGATGTTTCCATATTAGTTTCAGATTTCCTGACCCGGTGGTTCTTGAGAAAAAGATTTTTAAAGATTTGTTCTATATATTTCTATGTAAAACTTGGATTCCTGTTGTGGCCCCGTCCTACCCCCGGGGGTTATGATTTTACCAATTTAATATCTACACTAACCAAGGATGCTTCCACATAAGTTTCAGAATAATATACCGGTAACGGTTTTAAAAAATATTTGTCTATTTTCTCATTCTTGTGTCAATTGTATAAATTAAGTTTAAATATTTAATAAAATTCCACCAATCAGTGATCGTTTCTGTGGCATAATCGACAAGGAATCGGACTGACAACCTCATGGTCACGAGTTTGATACCCAGCGTGAGCGTTGCAGAATTTATTTAGTAAATAAGTCTATTCACTATTTCAACATAGTATGCTTACGCTATATAAATACTTAGAACACTATGCGAGAATAGTAGGGTATGGGTTATATAGAGACAAACTGACAGGAAGCATAATAATATGACATCATGCTGTGCTATATATACATCATAATCTGTTCTCTTTTATTTTGAATATTCCAAGCACTAGGTATATAATGAAAATTGTTGCATGAAAAGATTTAATTTTCAAGATTCATTTAAAGACTTTTTGAATTAAATTATAAATTAAAGAGTTGTCCTTCCTGGCTGAGGGTCGGAGTCCCTTCAAATGAAAGCCCTATATATTTTTATTAAAAAATTATGACCAATTTTAAGTTTTTACTTTTTAAAATAGTTCAAACTTCAAGGTCATACTTTAAATTTTTTGGCGGGTTTGATTGACACATCCTTGCACTTTCAAAAATTTTAATTTTATTCTTAATCCTTAGGAATAATGGCAATCTTAATGTGTATTAATGAAAAATATTAATACTATAATCCAGAAAAATCAGTGTAGGCATGTTCAAAAGCAAAACAAACACACAATATATTGTCAGTCTGTGCAGTTGTGGTGAACAGACTTTGGCGATTGAACGCACCCGGTGTATCGTTAACATCAAACAATAACATGTTTACAAAAACTTGTGTACATAACATGAGTGTGATCGATTCGCAAAACTCTGTACACAACGGAATGACAATACTTGTAAAGGAGCTCTGCTTACTAACATTTCTACTCTGAATAAAATTATTTTTCTGGATTTAAGTTTAAATATTTCTCATTAATATACAAGATTGCCACTTTTCCAAAGTATTAAAAATAAAATTAAAATGTGTGAAAGTGCAAGGATGTGTCATTCAAACCTGCCAAAAAAATTAAAGTTTAAATAACTTTTAAATGAAATAAGATTTTTAATTCATTTTTGTGTGAAATGCTATTAAAATATATAATTTGTGATATTATAGAGAAAATATTAACTTCAAATCTGTGTCCAAGTACCTTTAACTAAGGTTAAAGTTTTTGTGACGGATGGACAGACTGACACATATGACAGATGAAAGAGATTTAATGTCCCTTGCTTTCTCAAAAACCCTCAGAAATTTATTGATGTTTTCATCACATATTTAATAGCTACAAAGATAATATTTATTGCTATAACAATTGTCACTTGAAAGCATCCTTAGAGAGAAATTATTTACCTTAGCTTTAAAATGAAGCAATACTCTTTCTACATGTTCTACATGTACTTTTTGTTAATAAGAATTTTAACAAACTTTAAGTGCTGAAAAAAAATAATTGTGTAGGAGCAATGAATTATGATGGGTCGGTCGGAGTACAACAACCAATGAAATGAATTTTGTTATTACTATACATCTACTGATAACACTCGAATTTGATTGGCTTGTAAGAATGCTTTAAACTTTAATTACAATTCCTATTATGGTTTAGTTAATGTCTAAAATTATAATTGAGAAAAAAAATCAAAATATTAAAATTATATGTGCATTGTCTTTATTACAATACCAAAAAGAATGGAATATTACGATAAAATTCAATATAAATATCTGATCGATCATTACAATTCATTTCAACACTGTTCAAGAGAGGCAGACACGACCTCTTCTTTACAATGTTACATGCACAGTTACATTGCATGTTAGGTTTTGACTGTACACAATAATAGTAATTTTAATTATAACAATGCATTGCGCTATCGACTAAATATTGCTTTAATCGGTAAATAAAGCAATTGATTACCCCTTGTGAGTTCTACAGTTCTCAGCCAGATCAGCTAGTGGGCCAGGTCTTGGGTCCTTATTTCACAATGTTGACATAAAAAGTGGTAATTAAATTAATTAAATGCATGTATATTTTTAGCCTTTATACAAAGGTCATACATGTATATAATGGTCAAATTCCCGACACTTAATGTACTGATTCCTCAGTTTCTGACATTAATTTCTTTTTCAAAAAATATCTAAAACCCTAATTTAATTTCATTTTAACTCAATACCAGTAGTTTCACTTTCCTTACACTATTTTAATCAGTTTATTAAATTCATTTTTGTTTAAAATGAATCAAACATTTTCAACACTTTAAAAGAAACTTATTACAGCAGAATACCCAACGGAATAAAAATTTTCAACGATACATATTCTTATTCAGAATGTCTGTATCTACCTTCTTCTTACATGTCAAGTCATGTGTCTCTGTCTCGTGATAAGTTTAGAATACATGTGTTTCAAACTATATGAACGAAAACAAAAATTGCATTTGAATTCACTTTTAATATAACCTATAGAGTTATATACTGATATGAATACTTTTATTTATTTTATTGGAATAAATGCAATTGCCCAATGAGGGCCCTTGATTGTTGAAGAACATCAAAGATGTTGTGAATTTTAGACAGTTCTTTATTCTTCTGTTCTTTCTATTACTAATAATAATAGAACAAAATAATTAAGTTAAAAACAAATATTTTTCTTAGTGCTGTCACGAGCTACGGACCTACATGTATTTCCAAAAAAATATGAGTAATCTAATATCGATAGAACATAGCACACTGCTCAATGTACATTGTGACAGTAAGGCGACGGAGGTTTTTGTGATCAGATAATTAAATCACTCTAAGTAAACAACAAAATAATACATATCAAGAGTTCAGGTGATCATACAACCAGGCCATACCTTTTGCATGCCCAATATTTTCAAGTTATTCGTTGTCAATAACATTTTACCAATATTTTACCAGTTGTGCTATTTTACTAGGATAAGACGAATGACCTTCACCTATTTTCCAGCTAAGAATTCAGGAATCACATGCGCGTGTAACGTTGAATTTTGACCCGGGTTGAAAATTGACCCGGGGGTCATTTTTCAACGTTGAATACTGAGACCAAAGGTGTTGAATTTATACACTAATGCGTTG